AATCTTATTCCACGAATACTGTCAATTTTAAACAACTTTATTCGAAATTCTGAGAGCATAGACCTTGCTGATAACTAAAATAAGTTAAGAAGTTTCTTTTTAAATTAAAAATTAACTTTTTGATATATTCAGTATCAGATAATATTGAACAGTATTAGCACGTGGCACCATGCTTATGGAATACAAATAACTTAATTTATGCAGAAATTTTAAAGTTTTTTTTTCAATCATATTTTTCGAATTCTGAGTGCCTAAATTAAAGGAGTCATATAAATCAGAAGAAAACTAGTGTTTTATGCAAGTGATTCTAAATTGAACTGAAAAAACAAAACATAAAAGAGTTGTTATCATGCTTACCTTATGTTATTATTTTATGTTATATTATTTTGTGAAATATTATTGAAGACAATTATATCAGAAAGTAATGTTTAATCTATTTCATATCTACAATTCGAATGAATCAAAACCAATCTAAATGACTTTTGATGTTTTGTTTACTTTAAAATATAGATAAATGGTATCGATTGTTTTTAGTTGATTTAAAACCGGCGTTAAATCTATTTTATATCTTAATTTGGATTGAATTAAAATCGATCAAAGTGACTTTTGGTGTTTTGAAGTTTAAATAAATGGTATCAATTGATATCGTTTTAGTGGGATTATCTCGTTGGATAATAATTTTTAAAAAATTGATTTTTTCATTTTCTTCTCCGCACAACGTGCCATAACTTCTATTCAGAAATCATCAGCTTTGTTATTTTTAAAAAATATTAACATTAAAAATTTAATGATATGGTAAGATACTACAACTTTATAGAAATATTTATTTAAAACTTTATTTCTTCAGTCACACTTGTAAAGTATATTGACTATTGGTGAGCTTGTTGTCGAGAATAATAATAATATTAGCATTGGTCGAAGTGAGGGAGAACAGAGCCCAGCAGTATTTCTTTTTAATATACATTTTCAACTAGGAAATACCATAACCAGTTTTTTTTTTTGCTTCCTCACTACTGTAGATAGTGAAGCATTGTATTCGTGCGAGAGGTTAGAAACAATTTTGTGCTCAGAATCAAAAATTTTCACTCGCGTTTTACGTTCCAAACATCAAGGATTAAATTTGGTTCAAAGTTGTGCTAGCTTAAAAAACATCTAAATTAATTGACGTAATGATTATAATAGAATTAAGTTATTTTACTATAAGGATCGAGGTTTGTGCCCATTACTTTTTAAAAAATATTTTCTCATAATATCATTACATGTGGTCCTAATGAGCTATAATATAATGAAGGAATGAATAGATTATATTATATGGGACGGAGTTTTTAGACGAAGAGGGACCCGAGTTAGTTTCAGCTGAGTTGAGCAGCACAGCTCATCAACCCCTCGGTACGGAGGAGGGCTCTCCCATTGGCTGCTTTTTATCCAGCAGAAAAGTTTCTGGAATTTTGCCAAATTATGTCCTCATATCGTTTCGAAATAAATCCTTGTCTAGGGAAGGGGATAAAGGAGGAGAATAACAGTCATGTCTCCCTGCCCGTCGATTTCAAGGTATTAAAAATTCCATGGCGAAGGTAAATTTTAAAATAAGTAACCCACATGAGTCCTAATTAATAAATTACATTAATTTATTTCTATAAATATTATTATACTTGATGTCCCATGAATTAGCGGGGATAAGAAATACACGGAGGACTAATATGAGAACTTCAAACATAAAGTTGCTAAGTTATCAGTTTTTTAACTGTAGTATAGTGTAATTATTACTTGTACGGTTTATTAAACTCTTTTGTGAGTTATTTTTTAAGTAAATGGATCTGAAATATTGCATAATAGCCCTTTCACTTCTGTCCTTCTAAATCAATGCATTTTTTAATATTTTATCCATTCAATTAAAACTAATAATTGTATCTGTGTTATTGAAATATATAAATACAATTTATTATTACACAATTTCATACTAAATATGTGATTTTCGATCTTAATTATTGGACTAACGAAATTAATATGAATTGAGCGAACTACAATAAAAAAAAAAAAAAAATCTGTCAAGTAAGATCAGCTTCCTCACCGTTTTCATTTGCTAAAAAATATCTATATTAGATCATAAAATCTAATTATTTATTTATGATTTATTAGTATAATTTTATATTTTATTGCCCTTTGCTGTTTTTCATAATAGAAGACTACTTATATCAATTGCAGACTACATAATGTCAAAAAAAGAGAATAAAAATTGAAACTGTAGTGATATATACATAATAGATATGTTTTCACTCGTAATCTAAATAGAACAAAAAATCCATAGGAAAAAATTCTACTTTTTGTTAGTTCGGAGTTAACACCAATACACCAATACCAATAAAAATATGAATGAATATGAACTTCGATATTTAAGGAGGAAATCGAGACCAAGACGAACTGGTTGAACTTCAATGGAAATAAACACAATCACAAATTTGTATTTGTGTTGACGTTTTTCTTACAAACTCAGAGTAAATGAACTGAAAATTACACGAAATCTATCGATAAATAAGTAAATAAACGACAATAAGTGTCATGCCCGTAACGTTTGGAATCGACCAAACAATATACTAAATTAAATTTTTGAATAAAACCTAAAATTTTATAACCCCATAACAGTATTATAATGACCTCACTCCCACTCCATATGATCAGTGCCTTTATCCAACTTTGAGCCAAATCGAACTAGCCGTTTCTGAAATATTGGTATATCTACGAAAATGCGTTTGCGACTGCGTAAGCGGAAACGCTAGTTAGAATTTAATAAAATTGATATGGGACCATATAGACACTAACCCGCACAATCCTTAAAAATTTCATGAAAATTGGATAAGCGGTAGTAGGTGATATGACCGTTACATCGATTTGACTACAGACAGACAGACAGCGAACCAAATTTTATCATTGACGTCTAAAACGTAAAGTGGAAATTTTCGATTCTGAGCACAATTTTTTTTTAACCTCTCGTACGAATACAATGCTTTCTCTACCTTCGGTAGTGGAGAAGCAAAAAAAAAAAATTAAACCTCCCGATCATAAATATAAAACATAGTAGAAGTCAGATGTCTGAAAGCCAAACATCTGTATTTACATTTCACTCAAATTAGATAGAATTGAGTTAAATAAATATATTTCTTCTAAAAACTAAATATTTAGAAGGAGGTAAGCAGGACTGCTCATGGCGTAAAACAGAAGTTAGTTTTAGTCTAATCAAGACATTATCATTTCTGCTTTTAGAATGTTCACTCCTTGAAGAAATTAATATACAAAACTATTTATCGGATTAAAATAAAGTTTACTTTTGAAGACAACGTATCCAGAAATATTCTCTGTAAGAATTATGATTGGTGAAGTAAAAATAGTAGTAAGGGGAGAAGGCCTAGTTTTTTTTAAAAATATTTTTTTAACTTTATTTTGTTTTGTTTTTCGTTAAACCACTGAATGACTGAAAAGATATATAATTATTTGTTTCAGAGTTATTTCATTTCCTATAAAAGAATCATTATTTATGTATTCCCTTTTCTTAATACTGCCCTCACAAGTTGCATTGACTCCAAATTTTGTTAACTAATTTTTTGTAGTTTTTCGAATCGCTCTAAAAAAATCTCTTTATGACAATAACAAATCTTTTAGAGCCCAGGTGAGACCGTTTTATCATTAGAGGCCGTAATATTTCTTTATATTTTACTGCTGCAATTTTTATTTATCAGTAAAAACATACACCCACATACATACATTCAACTTAATTCTATTAATTTCCAAATTTTTGGCATTTAAATAATTAAATATTAATTAATTCTAGCACTAGATTAAGTTTGGAAATATCTAATGGTAGACTTTTGAAATTTTGACATTATTTTTAAGTTTGCTGGACTTAAATATAGGCTGTAAATGAAAACAAAATTTTGAGTAGAACTAAAGTTATGAATTCTTGAGTAATTTGTTTAGAGATCCCAGTTAAGCAGTTACTTCGATTCTAATCCCAACTTACTCTACCGCGAGCCACATTTAAAAGTTGTACTATTCAACTGGAAAAAATTATCATAACTGAAGGGGAAAATCCGGAATACCGAACATCTGTAACGCGTTGTCACATAAAACAGGTAAAACACACTCATTTTTCAACTTTGCCTGACCTTCCCGTTCAAGGTGTCATTTGATTCAACTTTCCGAGCCTAACAAATGTTGTCGTATACATTTTTAGGATTAACCAAACGGATTAGCCGGAAAAACAGGAAAAACTCCAAAAAATTTCACCCTGCCCGCCACAATATTCAGATCAAGTTCTAATTTTACAAGGATGTAGGTGACTCAATGTCCAATGTTATTTTGATTATTTTGCTAGCGATAAACTCAGCAGAGTTTGAAGAAGTGGAGAGAATACAACTCTTTTTAATTAATTAATGGACTCCACAATCCGATTCGTCATAAATGAAAATTAAACACAACAAATTTTAATGTATCGGTGGTGGTCGGTTTAGTTGTGTGGTACCTAAGCAAATAGCCGAATAACAAAGTTTTTGCGAAACCTTGACTTCCATAAGCCCCGCCATAAAAAAATTCAAAACAACCCTCTCCCCCTTTCCGACCAAATTTTATGAAATTGAATTTGGATCCTCCTCCTCCCATAATACAAAATCCATCTCAAAAAAAGATTCTCAAATTTTAAGTATACACCCTTCAACGATGGGTACATCAGCTAGTATTTTATATATCGTTAATTTATTTATTGTTTTTTATTATTATATTTAATATCGCAGATCTTCTGGCCAGAAGCAATCCTTTTTTTTTTTTTTTACAGCTCTATTCTTCTTAGAGTAATGTTATTTTTTTATTTTGTTCTATACATATACATATATGATGAAATTAAAAGTTATACTTTAAAGTCGAATAAAAATTGCCTATGCTTATTATTTTATTAGAATAATTCAACTTAAAATGTTATACTAAAAATATAAATGATAAATATGTGTTACAGATGAAAGCCTACACGGAGAGCGAACTGCCTAAGACAAGGTACAAGAACTGCCTGACGAGGAACGGCTACCTCAGCGGACCCAGGAGAGGCGAGGTGGTGGAGAATCCCCTGGGGGGTCCTGAGCCCCGCGTCCTCTGGCTCAGGGGGGACCAGTCCTCACCCCCCCGGGGCAACGTCGTCGTAGGGGTCATCGGAGTCCTGGTGGCTGTCTGTGTCGTTCTAGGCATCGTAGCCATCTCTCTGTCCCAGTGCAGCTCAGAAGGTAGGGGATAGCGTAGCATATGAAATTAAGTTAATATTACAATCTGCATCTTATAAATATTAGGTGTCGTCTCCACTAGTGAAACCCAGTCCCAAAAGATCTACTAAGTATATCAACTCCAGTTTCTATATCCTTAAATTGAACTGTATCACAATGGTCGCAACTGAAATGGCTTGTGTTATCGCACTATTTCTTCGCATAATATGTAAGCATTGCTATTGGATACATCTAATGAAATATATATCTATGTTTATATATAACGACTAATAGCTCTATAAGAACGACAATTAGGAATGTTAATTTTTTTTTAGAGTTATAATTTGTCTATCTTTCGAATGATTAAAGATAAAATATCATTTATATGTACATAGTAAATACAATGACTAAGGGGCAGAAATAGACCAGAGTATAAAAACACTGGTGCAAACAGAGCTTTGTTCTCTTTCTCGAAGGTATTGAAATCACGAAAAATCTCAAAATAAGGGGGTGCAATGCTATGCTAAAGGCAGTTCTAATATATGCCTTGAGACCTGGACACTAACCAGCATTCTAGAATAAAGTGTTGAAAGATTTGGGAGGAAAATCCTCCACACGATAACCGGAACGATCTAGGATCAGAGTAGTGGAGAACACATGGAATAAGTGTCGAACTGGACACAACAGGCTCAAAGCTCACCTATTCAGTAAGTACAAAATTGGCTCTAGTCCCCTCTGCGAGTGCGGTGAGGGTATACAGAATATGGAACATATCCTACAAACATGGCCTACTCCCAGCAAAGGAAGGTGATCTGGCCCTCTCCAACTGAATTGGAAAGGAAACTATGGAAGCCTTGAAGTCCTGAAGAGGACTACCGAATTCTTTATTTTAGTTCCTGACCTAGTCATAAACGAACGCAGAAGAAGAAGAAGAAGTGTGGAATGGATTAAATATGGAATGTGACACATGGAGAAGAAAGACCAATAATGAATTGCTTACAAAAACTGCTCAATCAATTTCCCATGAAATGAAGGCACGGAGGTTAAGACGGGAGGGGCATGTAGCCCGTAGCAATCCATCTGGAAGCCTATACTTATCAATGAATACTTCAATAGAAGGCAAAAGACCATGTGGAAGTCCAAAAAGCAGATGGATAGATAGAATCAACAATGATGCAATAAAGGTGAGTGCAGATAAATGGAAAGACAGAGATGGAGCAGGCTAGTGAAGGCGGCAAAAGATCTACGTGGTCTGTAATGCAAACAGAAAAAAAAATTGAAAAGAAATTTATATATATTACAAAAAATGGGCATGGCTTTGTTGACCTCTGTCATACAGATATATATATATATATATATATATATATATATTTGAAAACAATTTAATGTTCAACCCTTTTCTTTCCTAAGACTTAATGATGAGGAGAATAAATCTAAATGACGCAACTCGCTCCATGAAACCTCCTCTTAGCCACCGCCCCTGGTTTATTAGTCAAATTATAATAAAAAATACAAGGAACCTCTTTTTTTTTTGTAAAATGGCATGCATTTTTCTTATCAGGCTTGTGGACGTAGTCAATTTATGTAGCCAAACCTCGGTATGTAACAAATCACATTTTTTGCCACGGACTCCCGGGCTATATAAGTTCATCACATTCGATTCGTTATCAGTCATTTTTATTACAAGAGCGAATCAAGTCGACTTTCAGAACTGTCCCTAAACCATCGCAAGTGGATCTACGTTCTATCTGTCTGTCTATTACTTAAATAGAACCACTGTGGACTTGGACATGTTAAACAGAAAACAGAACAAGTTTAAACCTTTAGTCGACTTTCTTCACTTGCTCGTGTTTTAGTTCAACAATCAATAATCTTAGTTTATGCGAATATGTTCTATAAAATCATTATTTCATAATAGTAGGCTGTATAAAAAAAAATGACTGTTTTATCAAATTAAAGATTTCAAAGGACTGTAAATATTTTAATCCTATTTAATACTTAATAATACTTTTTTTTTTTTTTTGCACTTACATTTATTTATCCGCACCTGTCAATTATTATTGACAATCAGCAGATGTGCTGGCTTAGTAATGAGAGAAAAAAAAAAAAAAAAAAAAAAAAAAATAAATAAATAAAAAAGGCTTGATAGGCATGAGGAATAGCAATACCCAGCGGTATCCCTTCCATGGCTTTTATTTACTAATTCTTAATAATCCCTTTAGAGCATTCTCCAAGCTTGTTTAATTCCATTCGAATCCTTCAAAAAACTCTCAGTGTTGTTATTTGTTTCAAAGAAGAAACATGACGGTGTCCTATGAAATTCTCGTAATTTTAAGGCATTACTGGAAAAAAAAATTCATAGCGACTGATGCAACTCGTGATATTATTAAATATGAAGGGGAAGGTGTCCTTGACCAGCGTACTGCTCGGCTTTTGAAAAATTTAGGAGTGGAGATACGACGAAAGGAAGAAGGGCTCCGGGCCACAATTAATGGATGTTGAATAAATTCTGCAGGAAGCTGTTGAGTCAAATAAGTACACAAGTATTAGCGAACTTGCCAGGGAGCGTGGTGAATCGAAAGATGCTGTTAGTCGCCTTCTACTCTCCATGGGAAAGGTGAAAAAGAGCAGTGGACTGGTCCCTCGCGAAGCTAGTCATAAGCAATCAGCTAAGAGATTAGACATTTATTGAAAAACTCTTGCCTGAAAAACTTCTGCCTTATACACCATATAGTCCAGACCTAGCACCATCGGATTACTACTTATTTAGATCCATGGCTCATTTTCTTCAAAGGAAAATATTTGATAATTTTGCGAAGGTTGAAATTGCGGTCCAAGAGTTCTTTGACAGCCATAAAAAAAAGAATGGTATGAGGATGGGATTGGCTAGCAGATGGCTATACTGGTAGGCAAGAAATGGACTATACTTTCAGTATTAATTGTATTTTATGTCAAAGAAATAATAATAAAAATATTTGGTTGAAAATCCGTTACTTTAAAAAAAAAATATTTCAATTGTTCTAGTTTTTCTTTTAGAAGAGCCTCAAGTTCTTGAATAGAAATATTAGGAGAGAAATATTTTCCTTACTGATCTAATATCTAGTCAGAGATAAATGACGCTTTTGCTTGAAAGTTTTGTAATCCACAAAAGGCTGGCTAGAGACCTTCACTAATAGGGACTGTGTAATTAAGTACAATAACGTGGCTGAATGTACCGCAAAACATTAGGATTACTAAATAAGTATGATGAGGTCTGCTTTTAACAAATAAAACAATTACGTATCACAAGGAGAACAGGATTATATACAAAAAGGAAAAAGATGGCATGAATCATTTTTGTAGCTGCAACCAAGCTCTAACCACAAGGTCAGAAAAAAATAAAAATGTATAAAGAACTACTATTATATCGCAAAAAATTCACCTTGATAAAGTAATGATGAATGAAATAACCTCTTCTTCTAATGCTCGTTATACTAAGAATAAGGTACGATCTTGAAGAACTTGGCTTTAATGACTAAAGTTGACATCAATTCGGAACTATTGCCCTACACAATATAAAAATTAAAAATATAGAATATAATAGAAATTAAAGATAGAATATAAATAGAAACCAAATAAAATAAAAGAAGTATAACGAGAAAAGAAGTAAAAGGATATTTTGTATCAAGATTTAAAAAGAAATTATATTGCCTTTAGGAGAGTGTGAGTTAATCGCTCAAATAGAAAGATGATAAAACTAAAAAAGTCAATTCGTTAAAAAAATTATGCAATTAGTACATACGTGGCCTTGGATTGAGAAAGTTCTAGCAAGTTTTGGAAATCACTTACAATAAAGTTATCTATGCTCTAAATGTGTGTAATCGTTTAGTGTAATCGTTTGAGAAATAACGAAACTAGCGGTGTGACAATTAGTGTTGCCCAAAATCGGTCTTGGTCTTGCACTCTGCAAGACCAAGACCAAGGCCACTTAACTGTTTCAAGGCCAAGACCAGGACTGGTAAAAAAAATCGATTTTTTGAATAAAAATTAAGGCAAAATAGTTACTAATACTTGACAATCTTATTTACTCTATGTTAATGATTGGTATAACCAATATATTTTCGCATTTAATTCCTCCATTTTTTCATTCGGGCTTAGTTAAGTTTCTTCTACCTAAAAAAATACAGTAATATCTCTATAGTAATAATCTAATAAGTAACTGCGAGACTCTTGCACAAGACCAAGACTGATTTTGCAAGACCAATACTCGTCTCGGTCTCGCATTTGGGCAGCACTAGTGACAATGTTCTAACTACTAACAATTTTTGAAAGAAATTGGTTTGAGAAGGTTTTACCTTCTAAACGTTATAGCGTTTCATTTATAGTTATTTAAACGTGAAATCATATCATTTATATTATTACTAAAATTCTGTTACTTGTGTATAACATATTTGAATCGGTTATTTCAGAAATGACATTTATGATATTTTCATCATCTTTAGAAAAATTCTAGAATATATAAATCTAAAAAAAAATATAGTGTAAACAAACAACTTTTGTATTGTTTGTGTTGGTTTTAGCAATGCATATTTCATCAGTTGATCTGAATTTTTATTTTTTTTATTTTAGTCTGGTGTTGTTTCTACAAAAAAAACAAAACATATTTCTGTCTTTTTCCTGTAATTACAGCTACATGGGAAATGATTTAAAAGTAGAGTATTGCTTTTGAAATAAATAACCTTTATTTCATTTAACTTAAAAAGGATAAAAATAATTTGCTAAATAAAACAAAAATATAAATCCATAACATAAACTTGTTTATTTTCTGAAATAATCATAAACACATATATTTTATTTGTAGAAAGGACAAGCATTAGAGCAAATGCTTATATGCGCATCGTAAAATGAGACGAAGTATTTCTATACTACTGTGCTGTTGTTTTTGTATTTGTATACCGAACATTAATGAAATTATAATATAGAAACATGTTTCTACTGAAAGAAAATTTTTGATTTGAATTTTTGGTAGGATCTCACTTTTTATA